TAGATTTTATCTCCCAAAGCAGAGAATTTATGTGGGAAGTTGTGAGAAGAAACACTGATAGATTAAGGAAAACCTATGTAATGATTTGAAAGGCTAATATGGGAAACAATCAACTAACACTGTTTTAATTCTGAGAATGGACCCCATAGAAGGTATTTATGGTGCAGCTAATTTGAGTGGTGGAAATAAACTAGTTGGCTCATGGCACCACAATTTATTATAAGGGTCATTAAAGGAACTATTTTACTACATGCCATTCTCTCTGATTACCACAGCTTCTTCAGCCACTTTTATTATCAGTATAGGCCTTAGGGAAGCGCATAAAATTTATAATATGGAAGGCATGAGGAAAAGCAAAATGATATTTACTAGGCATCTTCTTAGATTTCTTTCCTTTTTTTTAGAGAGAGACAGAGAGAGACAGAGAGAGAGTAGGGGAGGGGCATAGAAAGAGAGAATCATAAGCAGGCTTCATGCTCAGCAGCACTGAACGGAGCCCAAGGTGGGGCTTGTTCTCATGACCCTGAGACCATGACCTCAATCAAAATCAAGTGTCAGATGCTTAACTGACTGAGTCACCCAGGCGCCCCTTTAGATTTTAATAGTAATGAGTGTGAATATGACTGAATATTAACAATGGTGGTTCTACCAATTGTGTGAATTAGAATATATTAATCACTGCTTTGGGGAGGAGAAAGAAATTATTTAAGAATACTTAAGTGAGGGGATCCCTGGGTGGCTCAGTGGTTTAGCGCCTGCCTTTGGCCCAGGGCGTGATCCTGGAGAACCAGGATCGAGTCCCACGTTGGGCTCCCTGCGTGGAGCCTGCTTCTCCCTCTTCCTGTGTCTCTGCCTCTCTCTCTCTCTCAGTGTCTCTCATGAATAAATAAATAAACAAATAAACAAACAAATAAATAAATAAATATTTAAAAAATATTTTAAAGAATAAATAAATAAAATCTTAAAAAAAAAGTCATCTAGACATAATCAGCCAGGACCTTATAAGTGTTAAACTGACATTCCATTGCTAGTCTAATGTAGTAGAGTTTATAAAATTTAGAGTTAGGCAGCTCTAGACCTTTCCTACTAATTGTGTGATCCTGAAAATTGTGACCAACCTCTCTGACCCTGCACGTGTCTACACTATAAAATCTAAATAAGAATACTTACCATACATAGGATGTGTGAGGATAAAATGAAATTAACACAATGATATATACAAACTGTTTAGCACAGTGCTTTGTGGACCAAAGTAAGCGTGTGATATTAATATTAGATAGTTATTCCTGATACTTCTGGTATTACTACTATTAGTTTACTGAAACAGTAATATGCTGGATTGAATCAGAACACCTATATTTAGGTCCCAATCAGTTACTACCAGGGATCTCAACTTCCCCACCTATAAATGGCAATATTATGCTGACAATAATAACTGCTTTGCCTAAAACAAAAGATTATGGGTAGCTCTAAAGGTAATGTATTTGCAAACTATAAACTGTCAAATTAAAAATATCCCCTCTCTCCTATTTGGTGGGGTCTTTGTCTGGTTTTGGAATAAGTCAATCGGAGAAGGACAAACAGTGTATGTTCTCACTCATTTGGGGAATATGAATAATAGTGAAGGGGAATATAAGGGAAGGGAGAAGAAATGTGTGGGAGATATCAGAAAGGGACACAGAACATAAAGACTTCTAACTCTGGGAAATGAACTAGGGGTGGTGGAAGGGGAGGAGGGCGGGGGGTGGGGGTGAATGGGTGACGGGCACAGAGGGGGACACTTGACGGGATGAGCACTGGGTGTTATTCTGTATGTTGGTAAATTGAACACCAATAAAAATTAATTTATAAAAAAAAAAAATAAAAAAAAAAATAAAAATATCCCCTCTCACTTTGACTATATACCTAAATGAAAGATACTCAAGTATAAGGTCATTTGCCTGTACTTAATACACATGAATGTAATACTACTCACTCTATTAGTGCAAGGGAGAAAAGATTAGTTTTTCAGTAATGATGACCTATTGTGAGACTGGCTCTTTAAAGTTGTATTAACATATAATACTACTGCTATCTATGAATGTGAATCTTGTAAACGTTTAGTGGTACATAATCTACTCAACTTGACCTTGACCTTCTATTCAGAAAATGCGAACCTAAGTACATGATTTACTACTAATAATTCCCTCTACCAAGATTAATATGAAAACAAACATACTTGTAATCACAGGGACGCCTGGGTGACTCAGTGGTTGAGCATTTGCCTTTGGCTCAGGGCGTGATCCTGGAGTGCCAGGATTGGGGGAGCCTGCTTCTCCCTCTGCCTATGTCTCTGCCTTTCTCTATCATGAATAAATAAATAAAATCTTGGAAAAAAAAAGTAATCACAAAATTGGGATGCAGTTAGGAAAAAGACAAAATTCCCTAAATTTTGGGGCAGCATCTAATTGATTTTGGAAGAATGTCAAGAGTTCATTTTACATTTTGTACTTGAATTGTCAGAAGGCTGGAGATTCTAAGGTGACAAGTGTTGCTGGTGTAAGCAATTACAGAAGGCCTGTCCAGAGCTCAGCGATGGACTAGCAGATGAATGGATAGATGTATGGACGAATGGGAGGAGAGATGGAAACTATAACTCTAAGTTTCACTAATTTATCCCCCATGCCTATCCTCGGATATGAGCCAGGTAAAAATCATTCTCCTCAACACCTAGAAGAAAGAGATCGAATTTAAATATTTTCCTTCACCTGTATCTGATACCTTGTGATTTTAAAAGCCAAGATTTGGGTTAGAGAAAAGTTAGTCTCAGGAAACCACTACAAATAAACCGTGAGGAGAGTTAAATATAATTTTTCTGCTTGTAATTATTCCACATATGATTCCTTTATGACTTCTTTATTCTGTTTTTTTTCCCTACTCTGAAATTCTAGACCATGAACAGGATGTCACAGAGATGGGGACAGAATCAAAGTGGGCACTGCAGCCAATACTATACAAACATTGTCATGATGGTTGGTTAAATGAAAAAATAGTAGACTGGGACTGGAGTAAAAGGAAGGCTTTGGTCTTGAGACTGGAAAACAAAAGAAAGTTTAAGAATTCAATTATGCACAGTATGACTCTCCTCCTCTCACTCAGCTACTTACACAGCACTGGGCATACGTGAATAGAATCCTACAGGATAGGATCATGTGTGATTTTTCTGCTTGGTTGTCAACTAACACTCTCTACTTCTTTCTACCTATAGCAATTATGCTTATCTGATCTAGTTCAGTGCAAATCCCCTTCAAAATGGTGAAGCACATAATAATATACTGAAAATAGTAAGTTCCCAAGAGGAGTTCAAGAGAGGGGAGGCCATGAATCCATGTTTGCTAAAAGAAAAGGCTTAGCTAGCCTCAGAGAACATGGCAGTTTAACTGTTTTTTTTTTTTTTAAGCAGTTCAAATGTCTGTTTTGTCTCTCCAATTTTTGACATTGAGGTTGAATGCCTAAAATGTTTACAAGAGAAACTGACTAAGTTTTTATTTGGAGAATAAAAAGATAACAGAACAAAAAAATATGGTCAACAGGATGTACTAGTCTCCATAATTCTGGGATAAATAAACACCCTTCCTCGGAAAACAGTTTTAAAAAAAGCAAAGGAAAATATTCTCCCTCCACTGGCACATGGAAAGGATGCGGGAGCTCTCAACTACTTACAGTTGTAAACAGTGTGGGCGGGGGGGAAAAAGCAGTAAAGAACAACCAGACCCTGTGAAGTTTCAACAAGAGAAGTGGGTGTCTAACGAATAATAAAAATGCAAGATACAGCTACGAAAATAGGCATGTGGATCCATAGGAAATAAATTGTGCAGGAAAGGAGAGATAATCTGCACAGTGGTGTGCAGAGAGATCAAAACCAAAATTAGCTGTTCAACAAGAATGAAATGGCATCTAAATACACTATACCAACATTTGCTTGAAAAAGAACAAAACATACACTTTGCACCAAACTCTCCCAATGGACAGGTCTCTCCCTGGGAGGGAAGTAGCAGCCCTGCTGAGATTGAAGGCATAAATGAGCATGAAGTCATTCCCCTGGAATTCGGGCTCCTGCATGATGAGGGGAGCTCACCTCTTCCTTTCACATGGGCTGAATGGAAAAAGCAAGGCTCTGGAGATGGGGGAGAAACAGCAGCCCATCAAGTAGCCGCTCCGCTCCCTCAAAGCTCACACAAGGAGGGTCTACTGGTTTTCAAGAGCTTGAGCAGGAGTGCCTTCTGCTTGCAGCTGGATCTGAAAAACACTCGCTCCCCACTTCTCTGCCCAGCCCTTCTTGGCTCCTTCTCTGTCTGGTCTCCAATTACTGAGTGTCAGATTTTTCTGTGTTTGTAATTCCTGGCGTAGGTTAAAACATCTGAATTTATAAGGTTGCATTTGCAGCTCCCTAGAAAACGGTAACATGTAAATGAAAAATTGGAAATCGATTCTTTAAGCTTAAATTCCCATTTAAGAACAAAAGGATAATGTGTTACCAATGAATCAACATGGAAACTATTTCAAGAAAGAAGAAATCCTATCTGAAGTGGACGTATCTGGATTAACAAGGACACGACAGATAACAGGCAGGACAGGAAATCCTGGTAGGACAGCATGGATGCCACGTCCTAAAGACAGCCCATCTCTGAAACTATCCCAAAGAATAAAGAGGTTTTCAAGGCAAAAGAGAACTTATGGAATTATATAGATGAGATGTGCTTTCTTACTGCTTCCATGTAATATGTAGATTTAGAAAGGTGAATTCCAATTTTTGAGAACGAAGACATAGAAAATGTCTTTTTACATGAACATTAAGCTTTAGATGAATTCTATGAGCCAGTGAACATAATAATATCCAAAGCCAAACATAATTATTTCAAATAAATATAAGGAACTATTTTTTTTACTATTAAAAATTTTGTTCTTTTACCATTCTACATGGTTTACTTTCTGGTTTACATTTTCAAAAAATTCCTTACCTGGGCTGACTATTCACCTTTTCATGTTTTCCATTGAAGCTCAAACTGCAGAGGTTCTTTGATTTTGAATGTGAAGAGTCAGATTCCAAATGTGCCTGTGTTTGTTCTCTCAGACGGTCATGAAGAGTTGCCTCCTTTTTCAAGTTCATGTCTGAATACGGGCAGCCAAAAGCACTGGTTTGTATAAAAATGGGTGCACAGTTGTCAGTTTAGAGTGATAAATCAGGAATCCACTGTCACTGGAACAGACTTACATCCAAATTTTAAGAACTGGATGAAGACCTTATTCTTTCACTGAATACACTCTAATAAGTTTCTTTTCCTATTGGCCCTTGAAGAAATCTCATGTTCCAGTCTATAGCACTGGTCAGCAGAGTATGACAGGTAGAGTTATCAGCACATACAGTTTATACAATTTTGGAAACTTAAAAATCTAAGAATAACATAATGTGCTTCTGGTAGACCAATGGAAATGTTATGTAAACACTTGATTCAAAGTTTGTATCTTCTGATATTTATGCCCTGACTTGACTACCAACATCACAAAATACTACAGGTCACTAAAAATATTCACCAGTATCAGAGAATATTATGCTTTTATTTAACATTCATGTATACGGAAAAACTGTGTCTGTATTTCTGCTTAATCCTCCTGAAACTTGCTGTGAAGTATTGTGTTTGAATGTGAAGGAACACCTAAGATGAAAAAGGAGAGACCACAATAAAGTCTGAATCCCCAATCGTGGATGTTGTCTAGAGCCTAATTGGCAAGGATTTGCCAGGACATGTGATCTGATCCCTTCTACGGACTGCTTGGTAGTCTCTGCCAGACTTCTGTGCCAACATTCCTGTCTCCAAAAAAGCTCCAAGCTTCTGCTGCTGCTTAGGAGTGAGGGAGTCTCTATGAGGGAAGGCACAGGTGTGACAGGTCACCTGCACGCAACCTCATGGAAGGTATTTCATGCTCAAGCTTTGGTTTCTCTCCAGTAAAATGGGAAAATCAGATCCAACCCTAAGGATTGTTGGAACCATGATAAATCTCTCCCCCTCTCTCTCACACACACACTCCAATATAGTAGTGCTATCATTCTCTCCATCGAGGGAAGCACACAGTCAAATACATCTTGGTAATTGGGTCTTTTTAAGAAATTTACTTCCAATTTATTGTACACTTGCTGACATATGATGCAAAATAAATTCTTTTTGGATGCATGAACTTTTTTTTTTGTTCTTTTCATGTCATGATAAAATCAGGGACCAATGTGGTTTTTCCTCTATTTTAAAGTTGTTGGAGTTTTCCAAGGAGAGCCTATAAAGAGTCAAACTTCAGAAGGCCTTTAGTACCAACCTATATCTAGAGTTGATCTTCTGGATGACACCAGCCTGACCCAACAAGCCAGAGTGAATATGAACTGCAAGAGGGATGATCAGCAGCATTTGCTACAGAAAAGAGGGTCCCCTTTACATGCATGTCCTATAATTCGTAATACTTGGCATTGATTTATTAACTTATTCAGTTGTTGATTCAATAATCCATTAACTGAGTATCTGCTATATCATAGGAATTTTAGAGAATATAAACCTAGTGAAGAAGCTAACTTATTTATAAATAAATATAATTTATAATAAGAACAAAAAGCTGTCTCTACTGAGTGTCCATTAAAACTCAAAGTTTTCTACGTATATTATTTCTGGTATTTATTACTAAATAACCAAAGATGGTATTTATATATTTTTGTGCAGTAAGAAAACAGTCACACACAGTCACACAACTTTGGGAAAGTTGCTTGCCACGTTTTTGAAAAGCCTCAAAATAGATCACTTAATTAATAGCACCAATCAATCAGGTGGGCAGAAAGGGGACAAGGATTTTAGCATCATCAAAAGAAGAAACATGAGAGAAGTGTGGCATAATCCTGGTGCAAAGAGAAGCCTAGGCAGGTGTTTACAGGGTAGAGCAATACTTTGTTTACTGTGACTAATGGCTAGGGGAAATACGTCAGCATATGCTAGAGTTCTGTGTGAGAAGCAAAGATGTGATAAAGTACTGTTTCCAGTAACAACACAGCAGGAGTGATCTGTTTAAGCTGCTGCATACTAGATCTAAAGGAAATTTTAGGAAGAACTTTCTGCAGATAAAAGTTGAAAGGCATGAGGCTATAAGGGAAACTGGGAAATGTTTATTTCAAGCACAACTGAGTTTTCATTAAGATATTATTACTCAGAAGTTTTGCTCTCCATCTAACACATACTCTCAATTTGAGACTTTGAAATGATGCGTTATAGTCACGAATTTTCTTAATTCCAACATGATTTGTGTTGTGTGGCACTTATGCTCTCTTCCTAAGGCTTATTTGTCCAGCACCACAGACAGCCGCCACAGACCCTCTCATTCTGTACTTGCTTCAGTTGAGAGAAATTTGGTTTCCCTCAACCATTCAACCATCAGTCCCTCTAGTCATTTAATGGCCTGCTTGTTCCTTCCTAATTCCATTTCTAGCCCCTCTGTCTCCAGTAGTGAGGAATGGAACACCCCGAGCTCACTAGAATAGGGCACCTCCAGATTCCACAGGCAAGCTCTGTGAGGACACATCTCCAGGTTATACAGATTAGAATGAAGTGTGAAGTGCAGAAGAACATAATATTATTATTTTTTAAAGATTTATTTATTTATTATCTATTCATGATAGAGAGAGAGAGAGAGAGAGAGAGAGACAGAGACAGAGACAGAGACAGAGACACAGGCAGAGGGAGGAAGCAGACTCCATGCCGGGAGCCCTACATGGGACCCGATCCCGGGACTCCAGGATCGCGCTCTGGGCCAAAGGCAGGCGCTAAACCACTGAGCCACTGGGGTGGCTGGGGGGGGGGGCAGGAATCCCCCGCAGAAGAATATATTAAATGACAGAAACATATGTTGCATATTTTGGTGAATAACTCAAAAGAAGATAATGATGGGAGACACGAGTACAAAAGAAGTGGGGATGTTAGCATCTCAGATATAAGAGTCTGTACCCTTTCCAATCTGCTGTTGTGCTGTGAACAAATTTCTGTATTACAAACCTGTGCTTACTTGTGTTCTTGGCACATAGAACATAGTCATGTTAAAGAGATGGCATTCCAAACTTTGGCCTGCCTTTCTGCAAATGCAGACCCTCACTCATGTGCATATGTGTGTGTGTGTAACAGCATGCATTATTCGTAAGTACATATGAATCTAAATACATAGAAAAAAACCCCACTGAATTGGTTGCCCTAGGTGTACTAAAACTTCTAAAACTTACTTTTGGTTTAGCTAAATATTGGAGAAAGGAGGTCCTGAAGATACAGTCTCTTTAGAAAACTGTTGACATAAGCTGAAATTTCTATGGCTTAAAGCACTGTAGGTCAAGGTAAAATTTCAGCTTCTGACTGATGGGAAAGTAGTATATTCAAATTTTAGCTCATTATGGCCAAGATAGGAGTGTAGACACTGTGGGCTGAGGGAGAAGCACTAAGCACCAGTGTTGGGTAGAAGACACAGTTCCTGTGACTGAGCAGATGATTTCCCCAGCCCTCCTTAATTAAGAGTGTGTTTGCTGTTGGCAGGAAAAGAAGGTAGAGACAGCAGGAACTAATCAGCTGACCCATATGAAAGTGCAGTTCCTAAAAGACAATGATAGTCAAATATCTGAATTTCATATGGTTCGATCGAATAATTGGTAACAAATGTCAGCCCTAAGTTCACCAATAGGAAGGCACATGAACAGAGTGTAAACACTAAACAAAGCAAAAAGGTACCAGGCAGTTGTAGACAAGTTTTCCGACAGATCTAAAACTGAGGTCCCAGCAATCCTCTTCATAAACAAAAAGAAACATAAAGATGATGGCAATTAAACATACTAGCTTTGCTTTTTAGGATACGTAAGCATAATGTTAACATCTGAGGATAAGTGGCAAAGTAAAAGTAAATTTTATCAGTGTATGTATTTTTTCTTTAGAAAAACGTCCTGCACTTCTTTTAAGAGCAGTATTCCTGACTGTTGCTCTGCCTTCGAGCTGTGGCAGAGTAGGGATGGACATAGCATTGTCCGGCAGCTGACACTGAATCCCTGCTTTTTGTGTCTGGCCTAGGGCCCTCGGCCTTTGGATTCTCCTCTTTCCTTCTATGCACAGGTTGGTGAGCTTCCCCTACATTTCCAGGATTAATCCTGATCTGAGGCCAAAGGTATTTGCTAAACCCAGTCATTCATTCTAGGGTTCAAAGGTCCAGACCTGAAGCAGTGCCCACTGCTGATACCCGTGCTCATGCCTTGTTCAGGAGTTTAGGCCGGCTAGTGGGCTCCGGGTTTCCTATAAAAGCATATGCCTTAGCCCTTGTTCCCAAGTGCCTCCTCTACTGCCACAGTGAGAATTTGGGGGACAGAAGCCCTATGTTCCCATTTTCTTCTTGGCCCCCTCCCAGGATTTCTACCTACCAATTCCAACCTAGGAGTGAGCGGCCACTTTGCAGATACCACCTGGCCAGTCCTTCATGTGCTTCTCACCCTGAATTACTCTCTATTACTGTGCTTTGCTCTCTAATTGGGATCCCTACCTACATCATGGATTCTCCTATCTGGCCCCAATTCTGAGTCTAGATGAGGAATACTGATTACCAGACCCCCTGGACTCTGGTTCTTCTCATTCTACTATATTATCATCTGTATCAACACTGCGTTCATTTTCTCATACCCAAGTTGCAAATTTGGTTCCTGCTTCTCTTTGACTACCCTGTTTGATGAAAATAATGGGCCATGCTCTCTCAAGTCCTGGCCAGTGGGCAGTTTGGCCCATAGATTATAACTGAGTTGTCACCAGTAACATAAGGGTAGCTTCCCAACCGGTATACAGCTACACTCTCAGGGCAGCTGGGAGGGGCCTGTGGAGCCAGAGTCCCAGCTCAGTCCTCCCAGCCTCGAGCAGTCTCCTCCAGGCTCTAAATCTCCTCTTGTTCCCAAGTACTGATTATCACTTTCTCTCTGTGACATGACATGAAAATGTTGGGAAGTGTGACAAATTTCAGCAAAACAGCAAAGATGAAATAGCACTCCCCCCCCCCGCCAGGGGTATATTCCAAAACAAATGAAAACAACACACAGGTCAGCAATATTGACCAGAGTGTCAGGTCGTTGACAACCTTTCTCCTGATCCTG